GCCGAGTTATATCGACTGATCATCACTGTTTTAAATGAATTGTGTTACATGGATTACGATCGTAATAAGTAGTATACATTATTAATTCAAGTTTATCAAACTCAATATAAAAAAAAACTTATCCTTTTGAGCAATTGTAAAAATACTCAAACTCTGTAACAATTTGACAGTTCTAGAAGATCTCTAACACTTAACTTATACCATCATATAGATCTCACTTAAAATGTTTTACACCTATTTACACTACTAAAAACAGTTGGCTAAGCGCCTTGCGCGAGACTGACAGGTCCTGAGCTCGAATCCCGCCGGGGGCGCACTGTCACTGAGGAGTCCCACAATAGAACGAAATAGCCGTCCAGTGTTTCCAGGCTTTCCATGGTGGTCTAGCTTCAATTGACTCATGATTTGAACTGTTGAAATACAGAATATTCTGATTGTGATCATGAACCGCGTGATGCTAGACTACCATTGAAAACCTGGAATCATTAGACGTCCGTTTCATTCTATTGTATGTCTCCTCACTAGTGCACATTTATGATCTCACCTCATAAGATTCAAACCCAAAGTCTTCTACTTCATTTCAAGTTAGTTAGTTACTTATTAAATACTATAAATAATCCAGTTACCCAAAATTATACAACTACATTGACTCCTTTACCTGGAATTTAATACTTCAATACATATTTAGTCACTTTGTACATCCATAAAACGTTGAAATAACGAACTGATTAATTGTTTATATTATCTCTATTATAGTTACTTACGGACTTTGATTGAAGAAATAAGATACATAGATTGATAGCAAGTTATATTCTTCTTAAAGAGACTTATTAAATCATAAGTATCATGATTAATTTTTATTCTTATATAATCCCAGCTTGAACTTAACCAAGTATATACTTGAACCTATAAACCTATTCATTTATATAAACAAATGAGGAGAAATGAAAAAAGAAAAGGAAATCTTACAAGGAATTATTTATTATCCTTTCTTAGTGGATAAACAAACAGATTTGGCTTCACTTAGTATTGTTTAGCTTGTATCTTCCTATTGAGGTTTAAAACTGCAATGGCATCTGAAGCGAATGGTACTGGGTTCGAGTCTCAGAGTGAATATCCACTCTGAGATACAGGTACATCCAGTTGACGAGTCTCAAATAGGATGAAACGCGTGTCCTGGATTCCACTGCTAGCCACTATCCATCACTGCTTACAAAAAGATTTGGCTTCAGTTTTATACACCTAACTTTCAGGTTTCATATCGAATGTAAACGATTTTAATAGATTGAGAATATTAACATAGCTTAAAAACATCATCGATAAATAAGAAGGATCAAATACAGACATCAAAGGCGAAGATTGGCAAATCAATTGAAGAATATATGGAACTCAAGACAACTGTTAATTAATAATAAAATCACAATCTTCAATACGAATATCAAGATAGTTCTATTGTACAGAGCTTAAACTTCGAGAACTACTTTAAACATTATCAAGAAGGTGCAAGTATTTAGAAATAGTTGTTTATGCAAGATATTCAACATCCATTGACCTGATACCATTGAAGAGTAAATTAGGAAAAGACGATGGAAATGGATAAGACATACATTACGCAAATCATCAAACTACACCATGAGGCAAGCCTCAACATGGAATCCTGAAGGGAGTTGGAAAAGAGGAAGACGAAAGAACACATTACATCGGGATATAGAATCAGATATGAAAAGGATGAATAACAACTGGAAAGAGTTGGAAAGGATTACTTTAGACAGGATTGAATGAAGAATGCTGGTTGGCGGCCTATTCTCCTCCACGAGGAGTAGTAGGCATAAGTAAATAAGTAAGTTAAAAAATAATTTCAAAAGTAAGATTATAACATCGTTTAAGAATAAAATGTTCTGATGAAATTTTTTTTAAGTAACTGGTTTGGATGCTCAAAACTGTTTAGCAGCTCAATACTAAGATGAAACATGTTCCAATGTCCTTAATTTTTAATGAGCATCTCTAACTTCTGTCTATTTGTGATATTCAATATCTTTTATATTGATAACCAGACAATAGACAACAGATCTACACACATCCACATACATGGTCATACGCAATCCTCATCGAATGTCTATGTCATAGTGAAGTTTAACGAAATACCGACTAAAAGATTTTTAATCAGTCTACACTCCTGAGTACATAACTAAAATATCCAAGTGAATGTTATTTTGCTAGAGTTATATTAGTAATGAATGAGTTATAACAAATGTTTGTAACGACCTGTTTGAACATCTGAGCTACTTGTTTCTACCATTGATCTCAATATGTCAACACGTTATCTAATTCTGATGTTTGTTTGTTTTAATACACATCATTATTGGTTATTCATTGCATAAACTAATTCAGATGAGTTTCTCAGATGTGTACAACCTTTTATTGCACAAGTTATAATAGGGCCTAATCAGAGATATTGTGGTTACTGGTAATATGCAGCGAAAAGAATCTACATCGTGTAGATGTCGATTGGCTGGACTACTCACATCTAACTGGCGATTACTCAATATGTAATCGTCAGAATCGACCAAGAAATAACAAATGAGAAACTTGTTGAAATACTTTGTGTTGAGAATTCTATATTGTACGAAAAATATAATAATGAATAAAGATAATAAAAATAATAATCTAGTAATAAGGTAGAAAATTAAACTATCATTATGACATTGTTATCATCGGGGTCGATTATAACACTAATCTAATTAATTTGTCCCTAGATTCAACTACTGAACTGTGATATAAATGTTGTTGTCTTACATACTTAACTTTTTACGCCTCTTACTCCCAATGAAGCATAGGCCGCTGACCAGCATTCTTCTACCCACTCTGTCCTGAGCCTTCTTTTCTAGTTCTATCCAATTCTTGTTCATTTTTCTTATGTCTATCTCCATTTCTCAGCGTAATGTGTTCTTTAGTCTTCCTCTTTTCCTTTGGCCTTGAAGATTCCATGTAAGAGCTTGTCTTGTGACGCAGTTGGGTGTTTTCTTCAATATGTGTCCTATTCACTTCCAGCGCTTCTTCTTGATTTCTTCATCCGCTGGGATCTGGTTTGTTCTCTCCCATAGTAGGTTTTGAAATTTGTATTGAAAATCCTGACCTTGGTGTTGGTTGACAGACAGTTGTTTTGAGTTCCAGATGTTCATCAGTTGTAGATGTGCTGCTCTTGCTTTTCTGATCCACGCCTTCACATCTGCATCAGATCCACCATGTTCATCAATGATGCTGCCCAAATATGTAAAGTTTTTTACATCTTCCAAATCTTCTTTGTCAAGTGTGATTCGACCGTTGAATGATGTGTTCTATCGGAGAATCTTGCTTTTCCCTTTGTGTATGTTTAGACCTACTGCTGCTAAGGTTACTGCTACACTGATGGTCTTCTCCTGCATTTATTTTTGCGTGTGCGATAGAAGAATCAGATCACCTGCGAAGTCTAGGTCGTGTAGCTGCATCCTAGCTGTCCACTGTATCCCATGCTTCCCCATAGACGTTGACGTCTTCATAATCCACTCGATCACCAGGAGGCACAAATTGTTGTTGTCAGCATTGGTATAGTATTGAATTGATTCCAAGTATAGTTTGAGGAAAATTGTTCCAACTTTAAAGTGAAATCTCTTTTCCAAATTTTTAATTTATGTGTATTGGGATAATATGGTAATATTTCACAGACTTCGATATTCCGTTGTTTGTTCTGAACCTTTACAATTAGTTTCTTATACTTGTAATCCTTTATTCCATTATGACCATTATGTTACGGTTAGACTTGAATATAATTTGTACATATGAAGTTTGTATAGTTTAATTTAAGAAATAGGAACTTATAAGTACCAGTACCAATTTCAACTTGTAGAGATATCAAGACAACCGCTATCTCCCAATTAGAGTGGAAATTTAATTTCTTATTACTGAGTTAGTCAGTCATTTAAAACGTATGACCAGGCACATTTAGGTATTGGTCCAAGTTGCCATACCTCATTAGCACAGTAAGATGAACACCGAATTCATAGAAGTATTTAATTCAATGGATGTAGTGTTATATAAAAGAAACATTGTATATAAGTATACAGTATAGAAATAAAGAATTAGTTGGTTGGTAGAAAGAAAGATATGTAGTGATTTTAATCTCATAGTTTAAGGGAAGACAGAGAGTGTATACACCGACGCCATTGTGATCGATTCTGAGCCATGTCACCCATAGTCTCTAACCGTTGGTTACGATAGTCACGTAGACCACAATCATGTAGTCTGCATCTACCAACATCGCTCACAGCAGAAGTTAGTGACTTTAACGACTAATGCCGTTTTCGTTTGACCGCCCCTAACATTTCCTACTACTGATGATGTAACAATAATACGATCTCTTATTCAATTTTAAGTAACATAACTTAGGTATCATTTACATAACTGATGATACATATTGAACAGTGAAAAACACATACAACTTTATACGTTTCCAATTCTTTTAAATAAAATTTATGGATTGGTTGAAGTTAGACATCATTAACACCGCTGGATACCAAATCAGTGATTAAGAGTTTGAGCGTTCGCGCAAGACCGATAGATCCTAGGTTCGAATCTCGCAAACGGGATCATGGATACACATTGCTGAGGAGTCTCACAACAGGACGAAATAGATGTTCAGTGTTTCAAGGTTTTTCATAGTTCTAGTTGTTCATTTTATTTTACATAGACTTCATCTATGAAATGAGTTATGATACATTTCATCAGTTTTAATGAGGAAGATATTAAAATGGTTTTACTTTGGATTGGTTAAATATGTTTGAGGAGAGAAAAACATTATTCTCCCTCCCTCGCTCCCTCCCTACCTACCTACCTACTTACCTACATAAAGTAATATCTATGTAACACAGTTTTACTCAATCACAATCAATGTTTGTTTGTTTTCATCTGTTATAACCAATAAAGATATAGGACAGTTTACATAGGAATAGGATAAAATGTTGAATAGGAATGAAGTTTGTTCTTCATAGATAACTCTTTCCTCATTCATGATGATGATGATGATGATAATGACGATGACGATGACGATGATGAAGATGAGATCGTTCAACTTGGCAAAAATTATTTCATTGTTATTATTCAGTTATTTATTAATTATTTCTGTACAAGGAGTCGTTATACCAGAGGTAAGTTTACAAATTATCTCTAATGAATAGTCTCTGTGTAACAGTATTATTGATCAATTCATTATTAGCACCCAATATAGTTATAATTCTGATTTATATTGAACATTGAATTGTTCTTTTTTGTTGTTTGTTTTCGTTTCTAAGTATATAAGCAAACTAATCAAACTATATATACCTCCCCCTCCCCAGTTGATTCAATGTAAAACTACAACTAAGAAATGATATAGAAAGATTATGATTAATAGTAGGATCCAAGATGTATGTTTCGTCCAAATGTATGTATGAACTCATCAGCTGGATTTATTTGAGTTTTAATACGGAAACTGTAAATTAATGCTTTGTGCTTCCTGCCCCCCCCCCCTAAATAAATACTGCCAAATACATTTGAATAAATTAAGAATCGGAAAATTGATAATAGTAGGTTTATATATTTGAAACTGATGTCTTCATTCACTTAGTGTTGTTTAACTTGTCTCTTCTCATTGTTATTAAAGACTGCAATTGATTAGTCTCTTGTTGGTATATATGCATCCTGTGTGTATCGCCTCGATATAGCCTTAATTCATAAGCTTTATTTTAAGCAAAGATAGATAGTGGCTAGGAGTGGAATCCAGTTTGATGCACGTTTCTTTCTATTTGAGATTCGTTAACTGGATGTATCTGTATCTCAGAGTTCATGTTCACTCTGTGACTCGAACCCAATACCGTTCGCTTCAAATATTTTGATATTTTGAGCAGACCTCTTATGGAATATATATAATGGTCAGAATGGAGCATAGGCCGCTGACCAACATTCTCCATCCCACTCTATCCTGGGCCATCATCAGTTTACTATTCGGTATTGCATCACTCAATTGATTAGTAGTATATCCATAATTGAAAACAAACAACCTATATGTACATCGTATGACTATAATGGATGACCCATCTAACTTATATCAAAATACCATGACTAATTACAGGATTACTTTTTTATAAGTTCGTTAAACTTTGATAGTACAACGTGAACAGTTTACAATCATTCTAAATGTCCATGGTTTGAATCTCGTGAGACAGGATCGTTGATGCGCACTGCTAAGGAGTTCCACAGTAGGGCGAAATGGCGGTTCAGTGCTTCCAGGTTCTCCATGGTAGTCTAGCTTCAATTAGAAGAACACGAAGAGTGCATGCACCTGCGTCATTGCAAACGATTTTGAGCCATGTCATTCAAGGTCTCTAACCATCGGTTGATATCATCTCGCAGATCGCAACCAGGTAGTCTACACGTAACAACATGACTCAGTTCACTTGTCAGTGGCTTCATGGATTTGCGTCATGTTTTGATCTGGCCATCGCTAACTTTCTTCCAATCTACTCCTACACCACAAAACAACGCACATCGAGGCAGTCGGTGTTTGAGCATACGTAACACGCGTCCTAGTCATCTCAACTGATGAAGTTTCACCACTTCATCAATTGATTTGCCATCCTTACCTAGTACCCGTTTTTATAAGGATGAAAGTCTTACTTCAAATAAACGTAATGTATTTGGATTATAGATAGTAATGAGATCCTGGATGCTTTTTTTCTTACTTATCAGGTGAATGTACCCACATTCCAGTGTTCCTGATCATACTAAAACTTAAGTCCAATACCTATCTCTGGATCCACACGCATCTATCTAACAAATCTTAAATATAACAAAACGAGTGTTTTTGATCAATTTATCAATCACCTTCTAAACATTAACCATAGTTTGAGACAAGTCTCTAACTAGACAACCCACTAAGGATGTACGTTTCCCTACAAAAAGTAATTAAAATTCATTCGTAAATATCACAATATGTTAGAAAACTTCTATGAGTTAAACTTGATTCTTTAATTGTTTTCTTCTAATATAAATGACCAGTGAAACTTAACCATGTCATCAGTAAAAGAGTTTTCATCAATGGCACTAGAGATTTGTCTTGCCACATTTGTTGAAGTAAGAAGTCTACATCATTAGATGCCTATCTCATGGCGTAATGGTTGAGAGCTAGTTATGAGAATTGAAGGTCACAAGTTCACCTTTTGTGAATGACATGGATGGATAGTGCTAAGGAATATGATACTGAAACAAAGCATCTATCCACTGCTCAATAAGAATTTTAGTAGTGCCCCAACTGAAATTAATCTGTGATGAAAACTACTTACTAATAAGATCTTCTAGATCTTTCGTTCTTCGTCAAAATCTTCAAAAAAAAAGAATCACAACGTATACATATACAGCATAGAATTGTCCTTGGGAATCGTTACAAAAGATACAACGAATCAGCAGCGTTTAAGATTCTCCCACATGGGAAAAATGAGCAGTTTTGGTGAGAAAACAAGAATACAATAATAAGGTATTTATCATATGAGTTCTGGGGATCAAACATTCCCCAACAGAATTCATAAGTCAATTAAAACTAGATCATCATATAAAACCTAGAAATACTGGAAAGTCATTTCGTCTTAGTATGAGACTCTTTATCAGTGCACATTTATAATCCCTCTCTCACGAGATTCGAACCTAGGACCTATCGGTCTCGTGTGCTAACGTTTAACCTCTAGATCACTGAACCGGTATCCAACGATGTTAATGTCTAACTAAACAAACGGAAAATATCCACATATTTTGATTAATATCAGATGGGTTTTGTGGATATTATAGTAATTTCAATGCTTAAGATCATGAGTCAGTTGAAGCTAGACCACCATGTAAAACCTGGAAACAATGGATGGCCGTTTCGTCCCATTGTGAGACTCTTCGGTAGTGCGCATCCACGACCTCGCCTCCTGCGAGATTTGAACCCAGGATCTACTGGTTTCGCGCGCTAGAACTTAATTCTATAATTATATTGAATCATTCTATTTGTATTTACCAGTGAAATTTAGTAAACAAAAAAATTTTTTTTAATTTTTTTGCGAAAAATGTTATTTTTGTATTTTGACTTGACATTGTTTACTGTTTATTGTTTCTATGAAAGTTTATCTTAGAAGGAAAAAAACATTTTTCCAATGTATGACATATTTCACAGATATAATTTGTGCCATATTGAAATTGAACACGCTAGAAACAAACAATCTATAATTTAGTCTTTATAGATCAACATCTATCCGAAATTCAATTTTGTTGTTGTTGTTGTTGTCGTGGTTTATGTTCTACTGTGTTCACATAAAGTGAACCCATGATCATTAGTATCGTTCACTCGATATGTCTAATATTATAGTGACAACAAAATACTGAACAGGACATCACTAAAACAATAGTCTTGTATATATTATACTATACAACAACAACAACAACAACGACAATAACAAAAGGTGGATCGTCCTGAATTCATTGCCTCAACGAATTTTCTTTTTATCATTGTTGGAGATATGGAGATGATGATGTTATTGATTGATATCATGAACCAACTGATGTTACAACACAATTAAAATCCTAGAATCCCTAAACAACCGTTTTATCCTATTGTGGAATTATTCAGTAGTGTACATTCATCATTCCGCTCACAGGATTCGACCCTAGATCTTTCGGTCTTTCATGCGAATGCTTAACCTCTAGACCACTGAGCTGGCATTTAAACTATGTTCATGTCTTGTTATAACCAATGCATGGAAATGAGCGAACATCTTTCATTGCTTGAGATCATGAACCGATTGATGTTTGGAAACCTGGAAGCACAGGACGGTTGTTTCGTCCTATTGTGGGACTCCTCAGTAGTGCGCATCCACGACCTCGCCCCCTGCGAGATCCGAACCCAGGACCAATTGACTTCGCGCGCGGGCGCTTTACCACTAGACCACTGAGCTGGCCGCCATTCAGAGGTGTTAATGTCTAACTTCAACAAATCCACGAAATTGAGCGACACATCCACCATTGTCTTCAGTGAGTTACTATCTCACAACAGACCTGTTTGAACTCCACTGGTCACTACTTCTCACTAGAATCGTTCTCTTTAAAATCATTATGACAAAAAGTAATGGGTACAGGTCAGTTTGAGTTATTTAGAAATTATGATCTAAATTTCTTAAAGATGAACATTCTCTACACATAGTCTATGCAATTTATAATGATTTGCTCACTATTAAGTAGCTTAAATGAAACTTTCTCTACCCTATTAAACATAGTTTAACTTGTATCTTCCCATTGTTATTTGGGACTACAATTGATTAGTCTCTTGTTGGTATATATGCATCCTGTGTGTATCGCCTCGATATAGCCTTAATTCATAAGCTTTATTTTAAGCAAAGATAGATAGTGGCTAGGAGTGGAATCCAGTTTGACGCACGTTTCTTTCTATTTGAGATTCGTTAACTGGATGTATCTGTATCTCAGGGTTCATGTTCACTCTGTGACTCGAACCCAATACCGTTCGCTTCAAACACCATCGTGTTTCCCACTTAGCCATTGAGTCCTGATAACTGCCCGCTTGTGCAATGGGGTTTAGTTATATGACCTACTCATAGACAGAATGCATACTTTTTTGTTTATTTATGATGCATCTATGGAATAGTACTTTAATAACCAAAACTGTTCAGCATTCGAACATTGGCTTAAATGGTTTAAACCTCTTTGTAGATACTTCTTTCAAATCAATAGGATAATTTCATTAGCCCTTACAGTATAAGTGTGAATGAAAGCCTATTATCTCTACTTTGTAAATGCTTTATGTAGTTCATAATTATATACTATTGGTATATATAACTATAGTTTTCATTCGAATCAGTCATTATATTTCAAAATGATTTAAATACTACTTAAGCTCTATGAATTACTGTGTTAATCATACATTGACAATGTGAGAATTCGAATGAATAAGATTTTGATTATGAATAAGATTGATGAATAATGCGATCTATCTCCAATAATTTAGTAATTTCACTGATTGAAATCATGAGTCAATTGAAACTAGACGACCATGGAGAATCTGGAAGCACTGGAATGATAGGTCCTGGGATCTAATCTCGCGGGGTGCGGGACCGTGGATGCGCAC